CATGACTCTGTTCATAAGTAGGACTCTTTGAAATCTTCAGGTTTCAGTTCACATCAGGAATTATTGGGACCAGCGGTCAAAGGAAAGTGAACTAAGACAAATTTCATGATAACTGCTGTAAATCTTGGTTTTCTACCATGCCTCCACATGTATGCCTTCTTCAAAAGACATTAATCTCCCAGTCCTCTGAGAGGGAAAGGAGGATAGGAAAAATTATGTTTCCTCTATTTTCTTCCTTAGTCATTTTCACAGGAGAAATCTCTTTCCTCCAGCTACAGGCTGCTTAACATTAGGAAGGAATTGATCTGTAGGCAGCACCTAGAGCAACTCTTCCCGGCCAGATCACGTTTCCTCTTTCCCTTTTGGTGGAGATAGCTTAGAAACCACTTTCTCAAGGACCATGCCTTAGCTTCCACCTTTGCTTTGAGAGAAATTCCAGTCCTTTGCCTAAGGAAACTCAGGATCTCCTGTGTTCTGAAAGATGGCTTGAGGCGTTAGACTTTCAAAACCACTGCAGACCTATGAAACCACAGAGAACTTTGCTTAAAGTTCCTAATCTCAGTGATACACACACATTCAAGTCCTGACCGAGTACATGGAAGGTTACATCTCTAATACATCTGAAAATTTAGTGTGAAGCCTTAAGATACATGTGTTCACATACCTTTAGATTAGAAAGTAACTTTTTCGTGGTAGCTGAATGAATTCACAGCCTCTCTTAGTGTGGTGAACGTGAATTAATTTCATAGCGCTAAGTTTCATAGAATTAAACTGATTCTAGCATTGCTTGCATATGGCATGCCAGACATTGCCACATTTTAATCCTCTGCTGTTCATGGAAATAAAGAGCATACACCTTTATCAATTCCACTAACCCAAGCTAATCTTTGAATGGAATAGTTGTCATTAAGAGACAATATCTATATCCAAAATAAGCAAGTGGATCCATTTCTATTCCATATATTGTTTTAGCTTAGCGGCTCCCTCCCACTAGTTTTCTTTAGATCAACGTGACTCAGAAAAGCCTCCGCAAGTACAGTTCTCCCATGCAGACCTACATGCACAAGCAGATACCCTGGAAGATATAAGCGATCCAAAGAGGGGATAGAATGATCAGAGAGGGGAGAAATATTTGAAAAGTCAGAAGAAGATAACAACCTTTTAGGACAGTTCCCACAATTTTGGCAGGTAAACGTGTCTGATATGAGCTCTTCAGTCACGCACAGATAGATGACACATTTGTGTGTGGGCAGAGGATGAAATTGGGTGTGGACTGCGTGCCTGTGCAATGGGTACAGTGATAGGTCTAACTCAGCACTAGCAGCACTGAGTCATCTGTTCAGAGTTCCTCACCATTCCCTTTATGACATGGAAAAATCCTGGCTGGATTGCCTGAAATTTTATCCTCACTGACTGGGGCCCATTCTGAGAGAAATGTCAATGTCACAGCAGGGTTTCCACATACTCAGAAACCCTCCCCAGAATCCATTGGTTAACACAAAAAGGGATTATATATTCTTACTACAACACTGAGCACTCAGAACAGTTATTTTGTCTCATTCATCCTCTTACAGAATGAGTATAGGTGAAAATATAAAGGCTTTGTAAGTATCTGAAGGATTACTTGAAAGATTGAGCTCAGAAGCAATTGGAAAACCAAAGCATCTAAAAGTATGGAAGTGTGCAGAAAGAAAGCAGTATCTAACTTTGTGAAATGATTGCTATGATCAGTGAAGATACTTTGCTTACAGTGAGCAAACAGCTCTATATTCTGAAATCATGCTCAGCATCAGTTTCACATTCTCTTTTGTGCATCTTTTCAACACAACTTGGTAAATTATCTACATGTCGGTGAACATGAAAGCATGATTTCAGACAGGTACTCCCTTATCCTCAAAACAGAAACACAACTGTGGCCAATTTTAACAGCCTGAGCCAAAGAAAACCTCAGGAAATCTTATGAAGTGACAATGTCACAGAATAACACTATAAGGAAGACAGTTGATGTTGCTTTACTTCTCATACCGTCAGGCAGACTATGGTATATACCTGGTCCAAATAAATATTCCTGATGTAGCAAGGAAGGAACAAAAATGTTGTTACTGCATAATTTCCAGATGTAGGTCTTGACCACTTGACACAGGAAGTCAAGTGTGAAGCAGTATAGAAGAATAATGAACTGCAGCAGAATTATATTACCCACACCACTAAAAATGGCGGGGGGGGGGGGAAGGTGTTGCTTGTTAGAATAGGTGTTGCTTTCTACTCTCCCCCCAGCAGATTAAGCATGTATGTTCCACGGCAAGACAGATTGGAGGGGGTGAGCAACAGGAGCAGTGGCTAAAAGGAGAGTAGGGACTAGTCCCCTCTAGCCAAGGAGCAACTGACTAAATGTGCCAAGAACAGGGCTCTAGGCTGGCCATCAAACAGCTTTCTGTCCACTCCTCCTGCTGTCCCTCAGAAGCAGCTTCTGCATCAGTAAAATATTTCATATCTGATTCCCTATACAATACTGGTGTCCAGCTCCTCTTGACATCTGGCTTTGTAGTAATCTCAATCGGTAATCAAGAGAACGGTTTGTCTGTTGAAGAAAGTGCGCAAAACGCTGGGTAACCCAGGGCTACACACCAACAAGATCTGCATTTGCTTGTCTTGTACTTCAAGAGCAGATGGCATTCAATATACTGAAGGGGGTAAGTCAAATGTTAAGACAAAATACTTTCTAGGAGAAGGCAAAGTTGAAAACTACTTGTCAAAGTATGCCACAAAACCAAACAATTTAACATATCAAAAAAGAATAGGGTAACTGTATGGCTAGGAATGTTCTCATGTGTTACATTAAAATATTTCTAAAAATAATTAAAGAAATAGTGAAACAAATTTTCTGTTAGAGCTTAGTGAGAATGACAGAATATCTCCTTCCTGCTTAATACAAGTTTTCTTTTTCTTTTCTCTGAAACAACTGGAGACCACCACCATCGGTGACAGGGAATTGGACTGGATGAACTCTCTGAATCTAACATAATCACAGTTTCTATTCTCCCTAAAAAGCATGATCAAATGATTAATAAAGAGAGTGTGCCATAACTGAGACATAGGCTGATCCCAGAAAGTGAGTCAAACCTGAAAGTTCACCAGCACAGATTGTCATATCAATATCAAAGATCAATTTGGTCAGAAGGTTCCCGAAACAGAAGTCAGGGTGAATGACTAAAATCTGGGTAGACAAGATCCTGCAGCAGCCATCAGATAAAATCAGTTAAAAATGCAGTTTGTCATGGAAGTCAGCCAACTAGCTGCATGTCCCAACAATGGCACCCCCAAAAATGCAAACAGCAGCTGCATGTAAATAGAGAATTCAGTTCTTCCCATACACCCTGGTTGCCTCTTATTAGTATCAAGCAAACACATATTACCATTGTTTGTAGAGATCTGACAACAGCAGCCCAAGCAATGTCTCAGGGTTTCCTTGTGCCCCCCAGGCTCTCTGTGTCCTCCACTGTCTTTACAGAGCAGCTGGACCATAAACTTACTGCAAAGAGAGCTGCCTGTTGTTCTGTTTGCAAAAAATGTGAGTGACAACAGCAATAGGAAAAATAAATACAAATGGTATTACATACACATGCAAACATCCCCATGTTTGGGGGTATTCAGCCATAAGGTAAATAGCAAAATTTTTTTTGACACCTAGATATTTATAAAATCAAAGAGACCTACAAATAGAATAAAAAAAAAAAAAAACAACAAACAAACAGAACCCACAAACCCAACACTTATCCTTGCCAAGACCTTCTCCCAGAGTGGACAGCCCCAGGGGCCAGGATCTCAGCTCTGCTCCAAGCTGCAGCAGTACCTTCACAATGGGGAATTCCCAAAACAGAAAAGATACCCCAGAGCCACAAAACCAACAGATTTGGCTCCCGTGCAAGACTTCCTCTAGCTGTCAAGGCAAGAAGTGTGTCATGGTTGAAAAACCCTCTGTGTTCTGGCTACTCCCCACTGGAGATATGGTGGGCTGAGACAAGAGGATCTTGAGGGCTCTGCTGAGCATCCCTGGCCTGAGATCAGAAACATGCATCCAGCCCCATCTCATCCACTCCAGTGGCATCCAGAACTGCATGATATTGCAGACAAGGTCTTTTATCAGTCTCTATAAGCCTTCTACCACCTTTTAGGCAGTAATGCTTTTATGGCATTACTCATTAATAGTTCACCTGTTGCTTTGCTGGATGAACTCCTCCTTGCCACCATTCCCCTCCCATCAGAGCCATACCTGTGGAAGATATCATTTGTTTTCAAGGTGCAAGAAAAATCCTTTTAGGGCCAGCACCTTGCTGGAGGTCATAAATATGCAAATTGAAGCATTAAACAAGTCACTGTATCACTAATGTTGTATTTGCAAATGATGGGTTAAGCCCTCAGGAGGGGAGGTTTTACCTGTTGATGTAAGAGTCAGTAGAGATGTTATTTGCAAACTATTCTTGACCAGTATAAGCCTAGGTTTTAAAAAGTCCCGTGTGGTTAAACAATGACTCATGGCTGATCCCTATCTTGCCTGTCAACATTCACCGTTGCTTTATATCTGTATCATTGCTACAGCACAGCAGAAGACCATGAAAAGGGGCGGAAATAAAAAGCATTCATTTACAACGCATCACCAGTCACTCAGTTTCTGTGCAAAACAGAAAATACTGAGGTAGTGAATATTTAATGGCTTCTTGGAATAAAATTTAAAAAGAATTCAAGTCTTGAGTTTTTACCACCTGCAAAAGAAGAACTAATTAGAGGAGCACAAGCAGAACATTAAAAAGGTCTTTCAGAAACCTCCATTGGGTTCATTTTCATCCAAGTCTATTCAAAACAGTTCATGTATACTTAAATGCAGATGCCTACACATGTGTATAAAAATACAGTGCAGCATCCCTCTATGGTGGCCTCCTTTCAAATATAGCATAATTCTGAAATCATTCAAGACAGTTGAGAAACAGACCCAGCCTTACCTTCCTAATTGCCAGCTTCTCTTCACCCTTTGAAACTGAATCCTCATTTCTGTCTCTATGGTGACAATGACGTCCAGGTCCCCTTGATGAGAAGACTGCTGGCACACGTCAGGTGCCAGAGCACATCAGCACCACAAGCCTCTCCAGCTCCTCTGTGGGACACTATGCTTTTCTCCAAAACTGCATCTAAGAAATGATAAGGTAAAGAAAACAGTGTTAAACCACCATTCCATGCTTAAAGAGAAGGAAACTGGGTCTAAATACAGGGTCTAAAAGCTTTTTTTATTTTTCTCTTCCATAATAATTGCTGCTACTCCAGAAATCAATGTGATGGCACTGCTATCAAAGAGCATATCTGGATAACTTACACGGAATGAAATAATTACAGGTAATTTCTCCCAGAGGGTTTGACAATGAGAAGATGTTTGCATCATAAAGTAGAAGTAGCTGATAAGCAGCATGATTAAAACCTCCTACAATGTCCATCCACCTGCACATGGAACCAGCAGTGACAGAAAGATATTTCTTGGCTCCTGGTTAGTGGAGAGAGGAGCAGGAGGGAAGATTTTTATCAAGTGCTCAGTAAGGAACAGCAGGTGGGACCTGCAAAGGTGCACCTTTCCCTCCTTCGGAAAGACACATTGAGTCACTGGGGTTACAAAACACCAGTTATTATATATAATCCTAGTTATTTTTTTATGATGTATATATCTAGCTGTTGTATAATGCCAAAACGCACCTCCATTGTAACATGCATTCTTCTAGCAGCTTATAGGCACAGCAGAAGATGTGCAGCCCCCACTAGTGCTTTCCCTCTGGTTTCCTGAATTAGGGGAGATGTGCTAGGGTAACAGCTTTGACTTTCTGCCACAGTCCACTGCCAGCACAAGTTGATACTGCACACCCTGTAGATGCTCTAGATTGTCTGTATTTTACTGACCTTTCATGAGTTCGCAGGTGAAGGTGTCTGGTACAGTTTTGCATCACTGCAAGGAGAAGAAATGAAGTCCCTTAGTGCTTGTAGCAGCAGGTCTTGCCCAAAGAATTTAACTGTGTGTGATACACCACTGCAATCAGTTCCCTTGTGATTCCTCTCCAATAAAGTCATGTGCTCAGCGAAATAAAGACACAGATTTGTTCTGTGTTTCCCTTAAGTTTCCACGTCCTTTTTCACCAGTCAGCCAAAATATATATAACCCATCATTTTAAGATGAAGGTTTTAATATCCAAGCAGACATTAAGTACAATTCAGAAAAGGCATAAGAACAACCGTATATTACCAAAACTTGCATTGCTTTAAATACATGTTAAAAATCTAGCCACAGACTGAGTTACTGATGCACCATACCTACTGCATGGAGATTTTTTTTTCCCTGTGTTCTTTTCTTCATCCTTATTCATCTCTTTTCTAACACTTGGGCTGTAAATGCTTGGTGCTCTATGTCCTGCCCTTCTCATGCTGGGTTCCTGGCCTTCACCTGAAGCCTTTGATGTTACAATAATGTAAAAAAAAGAAGCAGTTTGAGAGGAAACACAAAATGTCTAAAACGAGACAGTAGCACAGGACTTAGTCATGTGTATAACCGCTGAGAAGTGAGGACTGCACCCAAATGATGCAATGCCTCAGTCTACATAGTTGGTAACACAGAGATCATCTTTTCATCCAGAGATAATTTTCTCTGTTTTTTTTTCTCCTCACAGGAGCACCAGCTATAGGTGCACAGCAGAAGCCAATAGATTTGCCTTTAAAAAACCACAACAGAAGCACAGATGAAGAACTGTGTCTCCTAGTTCATACATAATTAATTTCTATTTCATGGCAAAGTGATACAGAAAATATCCCTCAGACAAACCACAGGATGCAGAAGTCACCAGATTAAGAAGGTGTCATGGTTTAAACCACGGATAGAGTTGATTTTCTTCATAGTAGCCGGCAAAATACTGTGTTTTGGCTTTAGTCTAAAAATAATGCTGATAACACACCAATGTTGTATGTCCTAATCTCAGCAGAGTTGCACAGGTGTGCAAGTTCCTTTCCATCAAGAACTTATAGCCAGCCCCAACAAGGCAACCAGGAGAAACAGACCAGCAAAGGTGATGCTGACAAGCCCATAAGTCAACAAGCATTGGGAAGACCCAGGAATCAGAGATGTAATTTAAAGCATTCCTTCTCCAGTCTTCATAGATGTCTAACAGCGAAAGTTGACCACAGCGTGCAGCAGCATCAAGGTGACAGTCCCCAGATTAACTCCGTGGTAAAACCAGGTTACAGTCAAGGTCAGAGTATCACAGAGGTCAGTCTCCAAGGTTTAGCCTGTAGCTCACATGAAATTTTAAACAAGAAAAGCACAATCAGAAGAGGAACAGGCTTTAAAATAACTAACATAAAAGATAAATAAAAGCTTCTCTCAGAACATAGGACCATTGAATGGTTTGGTTGGAAGGAACCTTAAACGTCATCTAGTTCCAACTCCCCCCCCCCCCCCCCCCCCCCCAAGTAGCTCAAACTCCCATCCAACCTGGCCTTGAACACTTCTAGGATTGGTCACCACCATTTCTCTGGGCAACCCTGTTCCAGCGCCTCACCACCCTCATAGTAGAGGAATTCTTCATTACATCTGATCTAAATCCACCCTCTTCCGGTTTAAAGTCATTACCCCTTGTCCTATCCCTACCCGAGCTTCTATAAAGCCCCTTTCAGATTTCTCAAGCAATAGCTTTGGTTACAATAATTTTGGATCTGGTAACAACCACCGACATGTGTGCATGAACACCATAAAAGCAAAACGAAATTTAAAGGGGTCTTCTATCTAAGCTTATTGAGGCTACAAAGTGATCTTTCAAAGAGATTTTTTTCTTTCTACCCCACACCATGCAGGACCCCATCAACCTTGTAAGTACAGCACATATACCCTTCTCACTCTATATCCATCTATTATATTTCACAATCATTTAACATTATGTTAGTTACATCTCATCTATCCAAGGAATATACATCTCATAACAGTAATACATGTGGTAGGCATTTCACATCTCATACTACAACCAATTACAGCTTCAAGAGTTAATTTTTCTTTCTGTGGCTGTACCTGTTGGGACAAAGAGTGTGACTTTTAGGATTTTCTCATCTAGGGGAAAAAAAAAAGAGCCACCAACCTCCCTTTCCCTCAAAACCCCCCTCCCTCCCCACCCCTCAATAAAGGAGGTAGGAAAAAGGGAAGGGAATCCCTGTTGCTACTGAGCCAGATCAGGGTGAGGTTTTTACAGAACAAGTTCTCTGGCATTTTGCTGTTTTCATGTTTTTAAACTTCTAATGGCAACTGTTTAACACATTTCTAATTGGAAATGCACAATAATAACTAAAATAGGAGGTTTTCATATAAAAAAAAGCTATAATTATGTCTTTTGCTTTGTTTGACAAAGCTATGATTTTTACCAAAACACATGACCAGCCCTCGGGTGGTCTATTCATAGCAAACAATGTATTGTCCTGGGCACACAAGAAGAAAGAAAAGATGTTTTTTAATTGAGCCTCAGACTTCATTTACTTAACTTTTATGGAAACTACCAGTAATAACTCGTAGAGGGCACACCATTATTTCTTCTTTCATCAACTCTACATGATCAAATGCTACTATTATCGGCAGCTTTTTTCTCATGTAGTCAGTTATGTTCACCACTGGGACACTACTATCCTCTTTGTATAAGGGTTAAAAAGCCAGAGGGATGAGATGGTTTCTTCACTACATCTGACAAAGAAATACCCAAAATCCATTGCCAGGTTTACCAAGAGATTTCTTTCTTGAAGTTTACTTTTAATTCTTAAGCCACAGATGGCATGGTTGCTTTACTCCTTACCCCACGAACCCAAATAAAGCACAAAAAAAGATGGCAAACTACTTTCCTGAGACTAGGTAAAAAAAGCCATCTCTACAATCAGAAAACAGTACTTTTTTTCCTCGATAGCTTTGAGATTAGACATAATATCATGAAACTACTGAGTGATTTTTGACCATTCTCAGAGTCAAAAATCTTTAGAAGTGCCCATCTAAAGTTGCTGAGACCAGCCTGGCACAAAGTCACTTCAAAGCTGTTAACTGAAAATGGAATTTCCATAACAGGAGTGACTGAAGACATCTGCTGTTGAGGTTACCAGTTTGAGGAAATTCTGTTCATTTATGCTGGATTGGCCATATCTGTTGAGCAGAAAACTGGTCAAGAGAGACAAACAGGGGGTCTCTGGGCATGGGACTTTTTAGTGAATAGTCCGTTTCTATGGAATGTAAGAACAAAGTGAGATGGAGCAAGTGGGCATGCCAAGCGGAGCAGCTTTCCAAGCAGGCCATCACCTGTTTGCTCTGCTTCTCTGGAGACTCCACCAGCTCCTAGGATCACTTTAAAACCATTCCCATGTTCTCCAGCTGCCCCCATCTTTACACTCACAAACCATATTGTGCAACTGTTGCATCACCCACCTGAACAGAACAATTGCAGGTCATGTCTCCCTTGAGCAGAAAGCAAGTTGGTTCTGTCCATCTCATCCAAAAGCCATGCTCTCCTCAGTTTGAGTCTGCAGAACCAGGACACCCAAGACAGCCTGTTTATCCTACCTGCAGCAGCATATATCCACTGTGAAGCACCCTCTCCAGCAATGCTTGTGTATTTCTGCCTTGAAAATAAGTTTGCTCACTCTGTACACCTGCCAGCACACCATGTAACCAGCATGCAACCAATATGGACATTCAGAGACTCTGGGACTCAAGCCTTAACTCAAATTCGTAGTCAATCTGACAGAATTGATAGCCCACAGCTTCCAGCATCATGATCACTGTAGTTGTTCACCAACGGTTTCATACCTGCCAAGTGTGCTTACATTTCACAGAATAAACTGAGAACAAGCACATGTAGCCACACAATTGTGCCTGCCCCTTAAGGATTCTCAGATGTAACACATTTTCCCATTTACATTTTCCCATTCCATTAACGTTATTGAAGAAACATTTCATTTTCAGTTGTATTTTCAGAAGGCTAACAAGGGGCTCATGAATACATCAAAGCAAAGTCATATTATTCATTTACACAAATGTTTCTGATTATTTTTTTCTCCGACCACTCAGACAACACTTTATTAAAAAGCTAGAAGAAAAATCTAGTGTTTTTCAGAACCACCTCTCATAACCCTAGGTCCTGGTTTATTTCCACATTTGCAGAACATCCACAGGATGCAAAATGAAGGCACAGGTACCAGCTCTTCACAAACCTGGAGTGTCCCAGAAAACCACCTTCCAGCTCAGAGGGAACTGTCTCCAGCAAATACAATAAGCTATGAAAACAGTGGGAAGTGTACTATTCTACACGCATTGAAAATACGCTCCCTTAAGGGTCTTGCACAAACTACACCTTTGGTTGACTTCTGAATAGAGTCTCCAGGTGGTTAAAGGGCTGATATTGCATTATTTATGGTGACTGAAACGCCATAGTAGTGCTTAACAATAGAATTTACACAAAGTCACTTGATGGAAAGAAATACAGGGTGGGGAGAGGAGGTTGTTTACAAAACAAGTTACAGTAATAAAGCTGCTAGGCTGAGCCAAGAGACCTCTTAGTAAATCATTTATTCCACAGTTTGACAATATTTACAAAGGTTTTTACATGAATTATTTACTCAAGCTTTTATAACTTGTAACGTACTGTACACAAAGCAGCAAAAACACATTAGAGCTACAAACCTGGGAACATACAGTTATGCAGTGACAGATGGTGGAAAGGCTTCTGACAAAGGGAAGTTTACAGCTAACACAAGCAACAGCCTTTTCTATCTGTCATCAATAAAGGGATGAGGACTAGCAGGAAAATGCGATTCAAGGAAACAAGACAATTTTTCAAAAGCTACATTCTTTGTGATTGCTGGATTTGGTTATTTAAAAATAAGTCTTTTGTTTTGAGTGTCTAATTCTAAGAATTGCCATTTCAGTGAGTTACCACCCACCCGTGAAAGGCTGTATGGCACAAAAGCCAGAGCTTACATGAAAGAAACCCCAAAATTCTGCTGCTTACTCTGTTAGGTCAGCTTAAG